TTCCCGCCGAGTTTCTTTCTGAGGGAGGAGGGCAGGAGCTGGGCCCCAACCAGGGACTGGGAAACCGCTCCGCAGCGCCGCGGGAAGCGGGCGGCGCGGTAGGGCACAGACATCGCCGCTGGTGAGGGTGGGCTGCCCCGAGCTCTCCGCTCCTCAGAAAATACAGTCCACAGCCTCGCAGAGCTGAAGAAAAACTTCTTCTGGCGTTCCCTCTGCATTTATCTACATTTAAAAGGAAAAAGGGGAAAGTTTTTTTTTGGGGGGGCACGGTTCTCATGGAATTCAGAAGGCCTTGAATTCACTGTGTAGCCCAGGCTGACCTCGAACTCCTGGAGATCCTCCTGCCTCAGCCTCCCGAGTGCTGGGATGGCAGGCGTGGAGAAAATTTGTAAATATGATCGTTTAAAATAATAAAGCAAGGGTGGGGGACTTAGTTACCGCTTGCCTAGCAAGCACAAGGTCCTGAGTTTGATCCCTGGTACCCCCCCAAAATAAAAAAAAATAAAAGCAAATTTACCAGCTTTTGTTCCCCATAATTTTAAAACACAGCTCCCCCGCCCCAAAGGACAGGGAGTAAAGGGAAGAGTAACTCTTTAAAAACTAGATGCCTAAATTGATGAGAGACCACTGCATGTTCACCAGAAGGGCACAACCCAGAGCCCTGGCACATGAAATACTGTGAAGGTGTAGAACAACTAGATGCTTCTTCACTGCTGGCAGGAATGCAGTGGTACAGCTGTAAGCCGGGTTTGGTGCTGCACGCTGTACTGTCAGCACTCAGGAGGCTGAGGCAGGAGGATCTCCCATGTTTGAGGCCAGCCTGGGCTGCATAGTGAGCTCCAGGCCAGAGACCCTCACCCCAGAAACCTAGTCAGTCATTGAAGCTAATGAAGAGGTAGGGGTACACTCAGGCCCTGGGTCCCACCCAACTCAGAAGGCAGAGGTCCCAGGACACCCAGGACCGCCCCACCCAGGAGGCTCCGGGCACACTGGGTCCCTGCCCTCTGTCTGCCGGCGGTGAAGCGTGGGTCTTGCCCTTGCTCTGCCTGGCCCCGAGAAGCCAAAACTTGATGACAGAAGCGAAAGTGGCCACAGGTGTCCAAAGTTCACCTTTTACAGCCAGCATGGTGGTGTGCACGCCTGTCATCCCAGCACTCTGGGAGGCTGAAGCAGGAGGGTTGCAAGTTCAAGCCTAGCCTGGGCAACTCAGCAAAACCCTGTCTCAAAATTTTAAGAACACTGGAGCTGAGGATGCGTCTCTGGGTTTGCTCTTCGACACCGCTAAATGTAGCAGTGCAGCTGGCGGAGCTGTGCACCGAGCTCACCGCGGAGGGCCTTGAGCCCCAGACAGTGGAAGCAGTGAGTGCTGCAGACACCGAACCCACACCTGGGGCCTCCTGGGTGTTACGGGGACCTGCCTGGGGGCGGTGACTGCTCAGCTCCTGTTCCCCAGCCACGCCTGCGCCTGCGCCTGCGGAAACTAGTTTCAGTTCTGCCAGCGCTCAGGACTTGGCCGTCCCTGCCATGGCGGTGAACCGCGTCATTTCTGGTTCCTAGGAAGTGGGGGCACGAAGGATCCCACAGCCTTTCTGGGTACAATGCACCTTCTTGGCTTTGGTGACCCAATTCTTTTTGTCTGGCTTTTGTTTCTTGAGACACGGTATCACTGTGTAGTTCAGGCTGCTGTTGAACTCGCTGTGCAGCCCAGGCTGGCCTCGAACTCCCAGTGATGCTCCTGCCCTTCCTGGGCAAGGCCAGACGCAACCTTGGGACATGAGAGCCACGCACCGCAACCCGGCCTGACACTCAGCGCTGGACTGTGGGCTCCCCACGGCCACTCCTGAACCAGGGTTGTGGCAGGTGAGTCTCCAAAGACGTCTGTCTGTGGTGCCCTTCTGAAGGTGGCTTCGCCACTCATTCATCAAGAGACAGAGTACAGGCTGGGCGTGGTGGCACCTGGAGGTAGTTCCAGCGCTCGGGAGGCCGAGGCAGGAGGATCGCTGCAAGTTTGAGGCCAGCCTGAACCACACATTGAAACCTATCAAAAAGCTAAAATAAAGAAAAAGGTTAAAGGCGTACAATCTGCCCTGACCCTGGGGTGCCTTCTGTGACTTGCTTGTTACCGGTAAAGTGTGGCAGGAGCAATGCCACAGGACCCAGGGCTGGAAGAGGCCCCGTGAAGGCCTCTCCCTGTCCTTCCGCCACAGCTCCCTGCTGCTGAAGTACAGTGCCCCCAGGCACGAGGACCTCGGTGGAGGGGACGCCACCCCGCCCTGCTGTGGTGGCTCCAGGCCTCCTGAGTCACCCTCGGCCACTGGAGCTGCACCAGCCGGAGCGGAGCGCTGGGCACAGAAGTCATGGGTAGCAGATGACAGTGGTTGGCTTATTTATTATTTATTTGCAGAGCTGGGATCGAACCCAGGTCCATATTGAGCTACATCTCCAGCCCTTTTTATTTTACTCTTTGACTCAGGGTCTTACTAAGTTGCCCGAGTTGGGCTCCAACTCCTGATCCTCCTGCCTCAGCCTCCGAGGGTGCTGGGATTACAGGCGTGCGCACCACATCTGCTGATGGTGAACGCAACACGTAACTCTGCAGCACAGTTGACTTTCTACTGGTGAATGTGGAGAATAAAGACAGAATTGGGACAAAAATGACACACGGCTGGAGAGGAGCTCGCTTCATCAGGGCGAGGGACTGCGTGATTGGCAGCAGTGAGAGCAAACGACGAACGGGAACAGACACGGACCGAGCA